CAACTAGGACAGCGGACGACAACTACCGTTAACAAAATGGGGCTTTTTTTCTGCATTGTCTGCATGCGTCTTATCTCAACGAGAACAGCGGACGACAACTACCGTTGACAAAACGGTGCTTTTTTCTGGATTGTCTGCATGCGTCTTATCTCAACTAGGACAGCGGACGACCACTACCGTTAACAAAATGGGGCTTTCTTTTCTGGATTGTCTGCATGCGTCTTATCTCAACTAGGACAGCGGACGACAACTACCGTTAACAAAATGGGGCTTTCTTGTCTGGATTGTCTGCATGCGTCTTATCTCAACTAGGACAGCGGACGACAACTACCGATAACAAAATGGGTGTTTGTTGTTCTGGATTGTCTGCATGCTTCTTATCTCAACTAGGACAGCGGACGACAACTACTGTTAACAAAATGGGGCTTTTTGTTCTGCAATTTGTGGGGGCCCTCTAGATTGTCAAAGATTGTTAACCAGGTAGGGGGGGGGGGAAGAAGAGGGGTGGTGGGGGGAGGGAGGGGGGAGGACCCGATTTGAATTATTTGAATTATTTGAATTCTCGGGGCCCATTTGAGAATTGAAATAATTCAAATCAGGGAGGACCCGATTTGAATTGTTTGAATTCTCAAATGGGCCCGGGAATTCAAATAATTCAAATCGGGGGGGGGGGGTCCCTCATTTGTCCAGGACCCATTTGCGAATTCAAACAATTCAAATCAGGGAGGACCCGATTTGAATTGTTTGAATTGTTTGAATTCTCAAATGGGCCCGGGAATTCAATAATTGTTTGAATTTATTGAATTCTCAAATGGACCCGGGAATTCAAATAATTCAAACACAGATATATGCTTTCATATGTACTGAGCCAAATAGACCCTAAAGGACCCTCTCCCATACATATGTGTATATATATATATGTATACACACACACATGTATTCACATCGATATTCAATGCTGCAGAGTCCTGGGTCGGAGGAGGGATGCAAAAAGTCGCCGGGTTCTGTTTGCTGTATGCGAATGACCCCCACTCCAGACTGGGCTTGTTTGTTCCCAGCCAACCTCTGCCAGGAGTGCCAAACCCACCCAACATCGTCTGGGAATGCAGCTGGAGATCTGCGCCTGGCATCGGCCACTTGCCTTCCACCGGGACCATCATGCCGACTCCCACGACGATCATGACGGTCGGTCCTCAAAGAGCTTCTCTGAAGGGCTCACGGCAAAGAACGGCAAAGAGCTTTGTTCAGCGGTCGGCTTGGGCTTGCGAGGTCCGGATCTTCGGCTGGGAGCCTGGATCCGCTACTGCAGAGGGGATGTGATACGGCGAGTGTTCTTTAATGCTTTTCATGTTGAGGCGACCATCTTGGCGCCAAGATATTGTATTCAATTTCGGGAAAGTTTTACCAGTACCTTAGTACTTCTCATGCCTATCAGGCCTATCATAGAACGAGCAGCATTCGCGAAGCAAATGTAGCGGCAGCGGTTGTTTTGCAATGTGTGGACCTAGCACCTCGCTTGCGATTCGCTTGATGCGTCATGCTTTTCTGCCATGGCTGAAGGTCAGCCTTCGCTCGATGGAGCCAGCAAATCTTGCAGGGATTGATCTTATTTGCGGATTGCAGTTTGGCGGGGTTCGTGTGCTAAGCTGTCTCGTTCCCACATGCTACACGCAAACCCACGCGCATACTAGTGTTCCATGCGAACCTAAAAAATCCTGAGGACAAGGATCCTAGCAGCAGCGCGCACCAAATAACCAGCTCGGAAAATCTTTTGGCAAGCTCCAAGAAGACGAGGGAGAACACGATCGCCACCATGCCTGCACAAAGCTGAACATTCAGAGTCGGATGTCGGAATCACTGTAGGAATTAGGTCGAGGTCAATGCGATGCAGCGGCTCGGTGCCTCTTTGTCGCAAGATCCCCCTTCAACCAGAATAGGACTGGACTTAAGCGAGGTTGCACAAGCTGCAGCATGTCAAGGCCGCAAGAAAAAGATGTTTCTGCTTGGTATGACTGCTGGTGCCTGTGCTGGCGACGTTGGCGATGGTCAAGGCGATGATGGTGACGACTATGAAGGTGAAGAAAAAACTAGGACGAGGATGCAGATGAAGACGAAGAGGATGGTGCTGGTGCTGGTGCTGGTGCTGTCTCTTGCATATGCTTCCTGTTATTGCTGCACAAATGATTGCCTCAATCAGGTCCTGGACAGACGGGAGATCACCGCTTCGATTGGCATTCGTGCTAATTCTCGTTCTTCTCGTCATTTCAGGACTCTCGCTACCCTGGAGACTCGCATTGTTCCCACCGCTCCGACAATTTTCAGGGCTTCTGCTCCGGTCATTAGTCGAGTTCCGCTCAGTATAGTCATCAAGTCTCGCTCTGATTTGCGAGGTTTCTCAAGCGTCCAACAAGCCTCATGTCTCGGCGCGGCCTTTCATTCTCTTTTTCTGACTTTGCCAGCTGAACTGCACTTGTCATTCTTGCGGCAACATAAGAGTTCAATCCACTTCCAAACAGGCCACAAGCCCGAAATGCACCCTGATATCCGGAATCCGGTCACATTGTAAATCCCCGAGCAAGTCGACGTGAACCTGATGCTGTTAGAAAGGCCTGCTGCAGAAAAGGCGTAGCCCACAGCGAACAAGCTGTTCTCGTACCTGCAGGTCAGTGCAAAGTCGGCACAATGACAAACCACAACCACGAATTCCATCAGAGTCTAAGCGTACTTTGTCCTGGCTCTTCAGTCCGAGACTCGCATGGAGCTTGGCGGAAACTTTCGCCTCAAGGCGATTGAACTAGTTGAGGTTCAGCAAGTTGGCTTCAAGCGCTGCTGCAAACTTCGGTGGTCAGAACTTGCACTGGGGCTCTGAAGTGCAAGGCGACTGCAGTCTGTGTGAGTTGCGGTTTTTGCTGGGTTTTTGGCCAGGCATGCGGTTTGAAGGACTCGGGCTAAAGGCTGCGGCGGGCGTGGATCCAAACAAACAGACGGACAGAGAGGATGTGGGGTTCATACGAAGAGCTGTAAAGGCCATCGACTTCAGATAACCCGAAGATGGAAAAAATGCTTTCAAATTCCAGAAACAAACCCCTCACCCCAATTACACATGAATGAATGAAACCCAGCTGCCACCTGTCCTTTGTCGGCAGCCCCCGTGGCAGCGATGATGCCAGATGCGCACCACCAGCACAGAAATCCTGCAACGCGAACCACTGAACCCTACACAGTCCGGTCAGGACAAAGATGTAGCAAAACAATAAAGGAACTTGGAATGCAACGCAGCAACACGGTTGCCTCTCTACAGTGTGCCTACATGGGGTTGTCGGAACCAAGACTGTAACCTACGCATGCAGACAACGAAGACAGGTAGCTCCCCCCGTTCACAAAAGGTACTCTCGGGTTCACTTTGAGGGGACGTACTCTTCTTCCACAGGGCATAGGGGGTGTGCGAAACCCCCTGGCCTTTAGAGGCCCCCCACTATTTGGGGTTTCTTTGAAGGGGTGTGAAAACAACGATGGTTTCAGGTCGCCTTCTTAACCAGATGACTTCGTAAAGTAGTAACAAGCCTTCTCTCTCTCTCTCCCCCGGGCATGAGGGGCGGCTCGGGCCCCCCGCCGATGGCCCACCCGCCTTTTGTCTGTGTGTGTGTGTATCTCTGTCTCTGTCTTGCGCGCTTGCTTGCTAGCAGGGGAGAACCCTCTGGAGAGTGGCCGTTACCTCGCGATCTCCAAAGTCACACGCGAGTTAGGGCCTGGGCTCAACTGCGAAGCTAACAGCCATGCGTCGACTAAGTGACGGACAGCATTGCAGGAAGGTCGTCAGCAACACAACCCCCAGCGAGAAGCACTCTAAGCGAAGGGAATGCCCTCACATCTCGCAAACGGAGCTGCATGCGGGCTTCGGTTGGCTTGCGAACAAATCAAAGACAGGTACTAGCCAAGAGGCAAAACATGAGACCGTGCGCCGAGGCCCCGCTTTCTGTGCTCTATCTCGGTGCCTGTGTCTGTGGCTGTGGCGGGCGATCGGTCGGTCTGTCTGTCTGTCTCTCTGACTCTGTTCCTGTCGGTGGCTCTGTCTCTGTCTCGGTCTGCAGCCATACGAGCCTGCCAACACGTAGAACAAGATTGCCCAGATCACATCCTGAGAAGTTGGCGGCATTAACCCCAGGACCACCGAAGCACATAAGGCAACATCTTCCCAGAAAGGAGATCTCCGCACTTCGTGGTTCCTTGTCTTGTTGCCGAGGTGCCCGACAAGGCCGCTTGGAGTCTTCAAAGGGCTCTTTGTCCTTCATCATCGAGCCACCTGCACAAGAAGCTTCCTGTGGGTTTCGGACATCCGCGCTTAGAGTACAACAGATTCTGGTAGATCCGTGCTGTTCCTTGCCCAAAGCTTACATGGTCACCTCTGGCAAGAGCTTTGGTCTAGAAGAACGGGTCTGACCCTGACGTGATTTCGCATCTCGGCCTCGTCGCAGCTCCGCATTTTCATGCGTCGAAAGCTCCGAGACACGCACAGACTGCCGGCCCATGGCTGACACGACCTCGATGGCGCGGGGGGGCAGACGGAAAACCTCTTGAGAGGTCCGCCCAACCTTCTTGGAGGCGCCCGCGCCGCCACCAAAGAGTGAAGCCTCAGCCGTGACTCAACTGCGAAGACCTTCACGTTGAAGTTCTAACTGCGAAGAACAACTTGCAAGCGCTGCAAAAAGAAAGAACTTCCTCCACAGCTTTTGGGTGACCTGGGAAACCTCATCAGCCTCATTCCGTGATCGAGGCCACTCTTGAAGAAGAACTTCAAAGCCTCGCTGTTTTGTCCTGCAAGGAGCTTAGCAGACAGTTACATCGCTCTGCTGATCAGCAGCGCGCTTGAGCCAGCAGGCCAGGCGAGAGGAGTCGAGTCTACAACTTTCGATTTCCGGCATCCAATGCCTGCCAGAAGCACTCCCAAAAACCCCCAAATGGGAATCCTTGTGATTGTTTAGGAACTGCCATTGAGGGCGGAGGATCAGCCGCAAACCCGGACCTACGAGACTAAAATCTCTGCCGCAAGGGTGATCCAGCATACGCCCAAGAGCTCTTTGTTTTGCTTTGCTCTGCGCTTTTTGCGCTTGCCGTGGGCGCCTGGGACTAGGCGTTCGGACTCGAGGCTCTCGGACGGCTGTGAATGCGGTCGTCGGAGATCGTAGGCATGGAACCTGCAACAGACAAGGACTGGGAAATGCAAACCAACGAGATAAGGACCACATGCAATGACAAGCAAAATACATTTAATGAGCAAAAGCAGAATGGAAGAGAATTGAAGAGAAGATCACCAAGACTAAGACCAAGATCAGTGTCCAGGTCAGGACCAAGATCAGGACCAGGATGAAGATGAAGAGAAAGACAAGACAATCTCCGGATGAACAGGGAAGATAGAGACAAAGAACTAGAAAAAAACAAGATACAAGCAGAGTAAGACTGAGATAAGATGAGACAAGACCAACACAGGGCAAGGTAAACAGGAAATTCTTAAACACAAGCAAGACGGTATATAAACAAAAGGGAAGGACAACAGAGATGATAGCCAAGGGTCGGGCAACTACCTTGTGCGGATAGAATCTCGCGTTCTGCCACACGAAAAAGTCGCACCAGAATTCACTGTCTTTCGTGCATCGTGCGCATTGTGTTTAAGCAACACAGGAAGCGGACCGATTCGGAAACCGAACTCGAAAGCACGGAGGACCGATTCGGCAAACATCCGATTCCGAAAACACCGTAGACAAATCCGGCAAACATGGGCGAGCATTTGCAAAACATCGGGAGCGACCCAGGAAGGCAAGCGACAACTCAAACAAAAGTCCACCAAACAGAAACGAGCTCTTGTTCTACTGCTACCTCCACGACACCTGCTGCTGCTGCCACTACTACTACTACTACTACTACTACTGCTACTTTTTCTTCTACTACTACTTTTTCGGGCGTAGCCCTAGGTTTGCCCCGCGGAGATTACCTTACATAGGCAGCGAAGTACAAAATACGTGGCAGGCGCAGTACTTTCGAGGGTTCGAGGGTTCTGATGGCAGGAGACGATTTCCGTGTAAAATTTAAAATT